CCCAGGGGACCTCAGGGCCTTACACTGGAGGAGGTTGGGGCCAGGGTTGTGCCTGATGTCCCTGTGCATGTTCCTCTTGAGAACAGGACTGGGAAAGACTCTATTATGACCACATTGATATCTGACTGGTTCTGAGATAGTTGTCCCTTGCTGTCAGCCCAGTGAGTCCCCTTCTTGGTTTAGGGCTGTGTACCTAGAAGGCTGGTTGTTTTGATTGTGAAGATGGGCATTGTCGGTCCCATCTGTGCTCAGGTGTCCTAGGTCCTGCAGTAGTCCCATCACAGAACCCCTCATGGAGTCACATACCCAAGGCAGTTGCACACTATGTAGGGGCCCATGTGTTGGGTCCATAGTGGTTCTGATCCCCCAGTCCCTCAAACACAGCCTATTGAAGGCATCGTGGCAACCTCTCATTTGTTCCCAGCCTCCAGCTCTGCCTCCTTGGGTTGTTTAGGCAGCAGTGTGAAGAACCCTTGGCTCTGGCTCTGCTGTGAGTGGGTTTGGGCCTGGCTTAGCAATTGATGCTATCATAAACACTTGCCACTGGGCTCCAGTTTTTATCAGGGTAAGACACGTGTGACCTGTAGCTGCCCCAGGCTCCCAGTCCTTACATTGGAGTGCTCTGGCTCTGCTTTGTTGAGGGGATTCCCAGCATGTGACTCCCCCCCTGTGCCATGCGCAGTGCAGTGCCTGTAGCTGCCTCTACTACCCTGCCGTCACAATTCCTCAGTGGCCACCAGTCCTCCTTCCTCTGTCTATGAGCTTTATTTTGGGTCAGGGCTTTGTGTTTCCTGGCTTCAAGTTCTGTGTGGCCAAGGATGACTGTGCTGTCAATATGCATGTACCCTGTGCTCGAGTTCGTCGATTCCTTCTTCTCTTTTCTAGAAGATTTGTTTATTTTTGTTTCATATGTATGAGTGTTTGCCTGTGTGTATATCTGTGTACTGTGTGTGTCCATGCTTGCACAGACCAGAAGAGGGTGTCTGGTTTCCTGAAGATGGAGTTGTCACACAGTTGTGAATCATTATGTGGGTGCTGGGAACAAGTGCTCTTAATCCAAGCCATCTCCAGGCCAGATAGTGCTTCCCTAAACTGTCCCAGGACACTCCCAATGTCACAGGGTCCTCTGTCCTTGTACAGTGTCTGCTGCCAATACTTCACTGGCCCACACTCCCAATGGTTCTCCTGTCTTCCTTCAGGGTGGATGACACTCCTCTCTCACTACAGCAAGAGTAGGTGCCAGTGCATGTTGTTGGGACCCTTGGAGAGCTTTTCCACCGGGTCTCTGGGAAGGCCTTGTGGATGTGGTCTGTGTGGCATAACTGTAGCTACATATGACCTGGCTCTCTGACCAGATGCCATTGGGACTCAGACTGTCCCTGGTACTGCAGAAACCTGGGCACATAGCAAATCCTGGAGGCACAGGTGATCCCAGGGGAGATCAGGAGAAGGGCCCATAGGACACAGATGGTGACAAAGAGCTTCAAGGAGAGCATGACAGAGCTGTGTGTGCAGTGAGCAGTTTGTAATTTAGGGAGGTTTAGAATCTGCAGAAGTGGAAAGCAGCCTGCCAGCTTCGGGCTCGCCTGCAGCGCCTTCTCTCTCCACTCACAGAGTGTTTGGACATGAGCCCTGGTGACTTACTGGCTCAGTGTGTGACCTGTAAACAGTCCACTGCGTGTCTGTAGGAGATAAGACTTTGTGACACCTCTTCAGAATGTCTGTAGATTTGCACCTTAGCGTCTTGTACATGCACTTCCTGGTGCCTCATAGGCCAGTGTCTGATGTGGGGGCTGAGGGTAGAACCCAGGGCCTCTCATGTGCCAAAGTACATGCCCTGTTATTGAGCCACACCCAGCCCAGGTGTGTGTGTCTGACTCTCTGTGTGTTTGTGTTTATCTCTGTGTCTGTGTATATGTGTGTCTGTCTCTTTCTGTGTGTATCTGTCTCTCTCTTTGTGTGTGTGTGTGTGTGTGTCTATTGGATTATATGGTTTTCCCTCTTTGTATATGTGTGTTTTACTAGTCTGTTTTGTTCAGGATTTAAATCAGCTATCAGGACAGTTCTTGGCTCTTTGGCTGGGTTTCAGAGCCTCTTTCAGTCTTCCCCTTCTCTTCCTTCCTCTCACCCCTTCCCTTCCCACCCTTGTTCACTCTCCATCACCTAAGAGTGTGATGCTAAGGATAGCCCCTTTGTAACATCTCTTTGTGAACTTAAACTTGAACCTGGGTCCTCAGTCATGTTCAGACCACACTCAAATGTAGCTGACTGCTGACTGTAAGTCTGTGGACCCCAGGCTCACAGCACACTAGAACCATCATGGTGACTGCTGTTCTCTCATATCCAGGGTGGGGGAATGGGTCCAGGTGCTTGGGGCCAACCTGCCCCGAAGCCCTTCCTCCTGAGCTGTGTGGACTCCTGGCCCCCTTGGCACCAGCACTGGTTTGGCCAGTTGGGTGGCATTGCAGTTGACTAAAGCTAGACAGATGCTGGCTTGCTGCCCATTGTGGCAAGTACTGGTGACTACAGTGCACCCATGTGGGGCCTTTGATGAAGCTTGGAGTTGAGACAACTTGGGGATTGGCTGAAGTGACTATGGACCTTAGACTTGGGGGTCTGGTTAGTACACTGCTGGCGCTCACGTCCTGGAGTGTAGGCACTTCTCCACTTCTCAGACGCTGCATCCCTGGCGAGGTCCCCTGTCTTTCTCTGTCTTCTGTCACCTGTCCTGAGTCAGCATGGGTGACTAAAGTGGTAGTGCATCCCAGGCTGTTCTCCCTGTTACTTCATGGAGAACAGGGCTCAACTGGTTTGGCATGAGGACTTAAGCAGCTCAGGAAAGCTGTGTGTGTGGTGTGTGTCTGTAATCTGTGCTAGGGATGGAAACCAAGGGATCCCTGGGACTCAGTGATCGGCCAGCCGATAATTGTTAAGTTTCAGTGAGACCCTACAACTGAGGAAGACATTAATTTTACCTGCTTTGTGTGGGGGGGCGGGGGAGGCTAGGGAAAGAGAGGAGAGTGTGTACATGCATACATGCCTAAGAACTTAGCCTTTTCTCCTTAGGGTCCTTGCTTGTCCTGTTGGGCCATCTCTCTGCACAGCCCTTCCAGGCGCTGCTGTAGAGTGGCAGCCAGGGACTATGGGAGGCAGTTGGTCTGGTCCTTCTATTGGTGACTAGACTAGTGGTTAGTCTTTCCTCTTCCATCACCATATCTGAGCCATTCCTTCAGCTATCCTTCCCCTCCCCACCCCCTTCATTTCTCAGATCATTTGCTGAACACCCAGGGTGTCCATTTGGTGCTCTCTAGTACCACCCATTTGGGGTGCTGGTTCATCTTCCTAGCAGTTTTTCTCAGTTGGGACACTGGGTCCTGAGGCTTGGTGATCCCAAGGGCACTGTCTGAGCTCACATCTGTGCTGTTGGCCAGTAGACTGGGCCCAGATCTAGTATTGCACAGTAGCAACTCCCCCACTTCTGTCCTCCCTCCTTGCCCTGCTCTTGTTTCACTGGCTGTGTTCATTTTGTAGGGAATGCAGGGTAAGTGCCCAGTCGTCTCCATAGCCAAGATAGAGCCCGTCTGTGAACAGTGATGTTTGGGATACAGTTAGGGGTGGTAGGTGAGAGATCCAGTGTGGGATGTTGATCTCTTGTAGAGCTGACCAGCCCATCTATTGCACCTGTACTAGTCTGTGGCTGGAACAAGAGAGGCCACAGTCCCCATTCATCTAGGCCAACTTCCTGCCTAAGCATGGGGTCCTCACCCTCCATTGCCCTTCACTCACAGCTCTTAGAGGACCCATCTAGTGTTTGCCATTAGATGATCAAGGACACCTGGGGCCATTCTGCTGCTGTGTTGGGACGGCACCATAGCTGGCCAAGCCCCTGCTGTGAGTTGAGTAAACTGTGACCTACACATCCCTGGGAAGCCAGGGAGACTGTCCCCTTCACTAATCTACTGAAGGAGCACTTGGCAGGCTGGGGCATGGCTGCAGGAAACAAGGTCATATTGGCCTGGGGCCTGTCCTCCTGCTGCTAGCAGAGATTTCCTGTCCTGTGTCCTGGCTTTCTGTGTAGTGGAGGTTGTTTGTTTTGTTTGTTTGTTTGGTAGGATTGGTTTTTTTTCCTTGGGAGTTGAATCTATTGGTTAGCTGACATGACTCACTGCTTCAGCAGGTTTAAAGTTTAGGCTGCTGTCAGTCGTTGGACTGGGTCCATCCCAGCCGAGTTGGGAATGGGCCCAAAGGCCTCTTATTTTTCAGGGAGGACTGGCCTTCCCTCCATCAAGGATGTTATATAGGGGATGTATCTGGAGATGAGGATGGGTATGGCAATTCTCTTCTCATCCCAGCACTCAGGAGGTGGAAGCCGAAGCACTGTGAGTTCAAGGCCAGCCTGAACTGTACTTTGTTTACACAACATCACCTGGCAAAGGGGTGTTGTGTCACCCTAAGAAAGGTTCTTTGTGGCTTCTACACCACTCCACACAAAGCCTCTGGGTTTTGATTTCTGTGGTGGCTCTCAAGGACCTTCTGTAGTAAAAGCCCACTCCTGCTGGCTCACAAGATGGCCCTAGAGTAGGACCCACAGAGTATCTGGGGACTCCATAAGGAAAGAGCAGAGTGCCTTGCTGTGTGAGGCTTGAGGAAGAGCAGTCTCTCATGTGCTGCAAATTTATGGGCAAGCGAAGGACCCTCTTAGTTTTTTGTTTTGTTTTGTAATTATTTATTTATATTTTATGTGTGAGTGCTCTGCATGTATGCCTGCATGCCAGAAGAGGGCATCAGATCCTATTATGGACCTCTGGAAGAGCAGCCAATGCTCTTAACCGCTGAGCCATCTCTCCGGGCCCTGAAGGGCCGGCCCTATTGTTAATGGCTGGCAAGTCCTTTGGATGGCAGAAGAGATGGGAGGAGTGGGGCAGGCATGGGAAGGCCCTGTCCTGTCCAGTGTGTGGGCTCCCTGCTCACTGCTGATGAACTTCCATGTTTTGTTGTAGGAGGAGCCCAGGAAGGTCTGCTTCACCTATGACCTGTTCCTCAACCTGGAAGGCAACCCTCCTGTCAACCATCTGCGCTGTGAGAAGCTCACTTTCAACAACCCTACCACTGAGTTTCGCTGCAAGCTGCTCATGGCTGGCGGGGTGAGTGTGCCTGCCTGCCATCTCTGCTCTGTGCTGGCTGCTAGTGTGCCTGGGCCTGGGTGGTCCTTAGCTGGTGGGGTGGGCAGCACCCTGAAGGCATGGAGGGACCTATGGACAAGGGCAGACAACTGGCTGGACATTAAAGGAGAAGGTGGCAAAGCCATCTCCAGTGACTTAAGGTCACAGAGCATGCCCAGGTGCTAGCCTAGGCCTGTGATGCTCTGGCAGGGGGTGTGAAGATATGGGGGGGGGTGGGCAGTGGATGTAGTGTATGTGGGTGTGGGGGGCACTGTAGGGGTAGTTAGTATGGCTGCCTGTGGTACATGTATGTCTGTGCACATGTGTGCATGCAGGTGTATAAGCATGGGAATGATTGATAGTGTAGGTATGTGATTATGCATGGGAGTGTGTTGTGTGGTATATTATGCATGTATGTGCCATGTGTGGTTGTAGTGTAGAAGGTATATGTCTTGTGTTGTGCCAGGTGCTCAGAATATATGTTTAATGTAGGGTGTGTGTATTCTTTGCAGGTAATATGTGGTACCTGCTTAAGAGAGCATGGTGTTTAAGGTGTGCGCACAACGTGTATACAATATCAAGGGCATAAGGTAGAGGTGTGTGGCCTGTGTGGTGTCCTTTGAGATGTATGTGAAGGGGATGTGTCTAAACATAAGACAGTGTATATGGTAATATCTGAGATTTTGTGTTTATGTGTGTATGTGAGAGGGCATGATGTGGTCTGTGGGGGGGGGCCTGTGTGTGGTGGTCTGTGGTGTGTGTGTGTGTGGTAGAGAGAGATGTGAGGGGGCATCTGTGTGGTATGGGAGGACTATGTGGCCCTGTGGTAGTATCTGTGGCCAGCCCTCTTCCTCGGGTCCATGCAGCTAGGGTGTTTTTTTTATAATCAGGTATCCCCTTTCTCTTGGTTCTGTAGTCAGAACTGCCTTCCTCAGAATGGAAGTGGTTGTTCCCAGGCAAGGATTTGAGTGGGTTTCGAACCCCTGTGGTGCCAATGAAGCTGTCTGACTGCCTGGGTGGTTTAGGGCAGTGGCAGCTTGGGATGAACACGCAGACAGAGGTGATGCTGCTCCGCCCTCAAGTTGTGGAATGGCTTAGGGTGTGTGGGTGTGTGCAGAGGCTGCTCCACCCCCTGCTGCCCTACACTAGGAGCCTCGTATCCACAGCGTGCGTGGGCGTGTCCAGGGCCCCAGGTCAGCTTCTTGGGAGCGTCAGTGGCGTCTCAGGCCTCTCCAAGCCTCTCAGGTGCCAGGGGAGGTATTACCCAAGCTGTGGAGAAGGCTCCCAGGGTATCACCCGGACACGGCATAGGAGGAACAGGGAGGGAAGCTGTGTCCAGCCAGCCTCGAAGACAGACTGCAGTGAGGTCTCAGAGTGCTCCCAGGGAGCCCGCCAGCTAATCACTCTGCAGCCCCAGTTGTCCTAGCTATGAGACAATGGCTCTCAGGTGACTCCCGGTACCAGGTAACTGTGGCCCTTGTTGTTGGCTTTCTGGGTCATGAATACTTGTGGGGATAATGCTTCTTGTCCAGGAGCTGTGGGTACTGGGGACCTGGAGATGGCATGTCCCTGTACTGGCTCCAGGTTCTATACTTGACTGTCCCTAGGAATGACTGGATTGGGGTCCTCCACTGCCCTAGCCAGGCAGCCTGTGCTGCCCTGCTTGGTCTCATCTGCTTGTGACCTGGGGTTGTTTGCACCAGGTAACCTGGCCCATGTGGCAGCTGGTCTGAATGCCATCCCCACCTGGCCTCAGGCATCTTGGCAGGGAACAGAAACTGCTGGCCCTGGAGGTTAGACTGGCTGGCAAGTGGAGAAGAATGCAGTCCATGAAGGAACTGTCTAAGGCCAGTTGCCCTGCAGCTGGGTGTTCCTGTATTAGGCTCCTGTCATGTCCTGGAAGTGAAGTCACTTACTCACAGGACCACTGTCTTGGGGCTTGGGCCTCACAGATGCTTCTAGGAACTGGTGTTCATGAGGCTCACCCAATAGGGGACATACAGCCTCTCTAGGAGCCTCACCTTTGTTGTGGTTGGGCAAGCACCAGTGTCAAGTCACAGCAGGGCAGGTCAAGTTACTGCCCTTTTCCAGTGCGGTGTCCTTTGACTGTGGGACACGAGCATCCCAGAGGAAAGGAGTGGCTAGTTGCAGAGTCCAGGTGCTCAGAGCTGAGCACCACCTCTTCGGCCAGCCTGAGCCCTTTTCTTGAAGCCCCATCCTGTCTCTGTCTGCTGCACTCTATGTGGTGTCGTGTCCTCAGTGGTCGGCTTCTATCTTTATGTGAACTTGCTGTTTGGAGGCCAGTCCCAAACTGTTGCAGGTGTCTTGGGAGCTGCTGAAGCAGGGTGGCACTTCCTGAGCCTCAGGCCAGTCCTCATCCCAGCCTGTGACCTGAGCTGGCCAATGTTCTCAGCAGTCCCAGCTCTGGCCACTTAGCTCTTCTCTTGCCCCTCTTACCCTTGGCCCTGTTCTTGGCCTCTGCCTTGCTGCTTGGGCTCCATGTGGCCAGCTGCAGCTGTACCTGAAGTGAGGAAGGCTTGTCCCCAGCTGCATCTGTGCTGATCCCTCAGAAGCCACTCTGCTAATACCAGCTTCTGCCTCTCCTGCTGTGCCTCCCTCCAGCCTCCTCCTCAGTGCTCAGCAGTCTGTGGCCCCAGCTGCATCTCTTGCTTTGCCACAGGTTCTGAATCTTCTTGGCCAGGGCTGCAGTCTGCTGGCCAGGGTCCATCCTGGAGGCCTTGAGGCTGTCTTGGTCCCTGCCACTCTCCATCACAAGGACAAACCTGTGACTCTTCTGGGCAGCTGGCCTCCGGCTCCCTTCTCCCTCCCCAGGAGGCCAGCTCCACGGCCGCCAGCCCATCGCCTGGCGCCTGTGGATAACCTCTGTCTCTTCTTTGTCACTAGGTGATGGTAATGCCCGAAGGAGCGGACACGGTGTCCAGGCCCAGCCCCGACTACCCCATGTTACCCACAATTCCACTCTCTGCCTTCTCTGACCCCAAGAAGAACAAACCGTCCCACGGCTCCAAGGTTAGTGAGGTGGAAGGCCAGCATGGCAGAGCGTGTGGGCCTGGCCGCTGACAATTGCAGGCCATTGCCACCATCTGCTGAGCCCGGCCCTGCACACCTGCCACCTACATCCCGAGCCTCTGCTCATGCTCCTTGTCGCTTCGATAGCTAGTGTGGCAAGGAGTAGTGCTTGTGACCTGGCTGCTCATCCTGCGCCCTGCTCCTCTTGAGTCAGGCCTCCTGGGCCCTCTTTCCTTCCCGGTGGTGACTTGCCTCTGGCCACTGGGCAGGACATCTCTATCAGTGGTCCCTTTGGCTACCTTCTTGGCTCCAGCAAGGCCAGGCCAAACCTGTAGCCTCTCCCAGGTCTCCTGGTCAGCATTGCTGGCATGGGGCCAGTTTGGGGAATGCTGAGAGTAGCTTGTGTGAGACTGAGCTAAGTCTCAAAGACACGCATTTCATTCTGTTATTCAGCCCTCTGGAAGGTTCTCACTGGGCCTCCTGCAGTAATTACCCCAGCCACAAGCTGGCCAGTGCTCTCAGCACCACCATGACATCTGAACCCAGACCCTGGCCCAGGCCAGTCCCTCGTGACACGGGGACTTGGCCTTCTTGGGACCCTCTCAGGGTGACTGCTGAGCTTGTGTGTCTGTCCTTCATTTCACATTCTTCTTGCTTCACTTGCCTATAGGTCGTTGTCAGTGGGGCATCCCTGTGAGACTTGGCACCCTTGGGCCCCTCAGGAAGAGAAACAAGCACCAGGATAGGCTTCTTCCAGCTCTTTCCACAAGGCTAGCAGGCCTGTGGCATCCTCAAACTGGTCAGCATCTTGGAGTCCTAATCAGGCCCTGATGTCACCCTTCACTGACCTTTGGAGGCTGGAGGAGAGGCCAGGCTTCGCTAGCAACCTGGGGCTCCTCGCCCAGCCACTGTTTGGAGTCCATAGAAGGCTAAGGTGCTCTGTGCTGGTGCCTCCCTGGTGGCTAACACTGCTGTGGGGCACTGCCTAGGGCCCTACAGATTTTTAGGCAGTACAGTTTCTTCTTTTTGGATGACTTTCCCAGAAGCTCCAGACGTGAGTGTCAGCCCCTGTGCTACCCTGGCTGAGTAGTTTCTGATGGCCTTTGGTAGGAGCCAGGCCCACCTAGACCTGTCCCCTGGAGGCACAGATTGTGTCACCCTAATGGGCACCAGGCCATGAGCCTTGGCAGCCTCTCTTAAGTTCACTTCTTCACTGTTAAGGAGAGAGGGCAGCATTGAGCCCGCGACAGCTCCATCCTCACACACTGCTTTCACAGTGTTTGAGATTGGGGCTCACTGTGGAGCACTAATTGGCTGGGAACTCCATAGTTACCTAGGCATGCCCCCCCCCCAAAGTGGCTCCTGTCATCCACTCACAGGTGTGGGCACATTCTCATCGGCCACTCTTGCCCCACAACCCTGCAGGCTTGTCCTCTGCAAGAGAGGGTGAGGACCACACTCTTCTCATTTCTTGCCTCCCTCCTGACTTGCTGGGGCACAACTCCCCTTCCTCCAGTCTGTGCAGTACACTTGTCGCCAGGCCTTATGCCAGCTGCAGTGTTCCTTGTCAGGTTTGCAGGAACATGGCCAGTGGCATAGGCCACAGTCCTGAGGCAGGTTCATCTATCCCTAGACAACTGAGTGGTCCAAGCAAGTTGCAGAGTCCTTCTTGCCAGGTGCTTCTCCACCAGCTTGGTGTCCTCTGTGGTACTTTCAGCAGTGTCTGTGCCCTGGGGTCTGGCCTGCACGGGACGAGCTGTCACCTGTCAAACTCTGAGCTATTTTGCCTGGCCACTGCCATGCCTACTGAAGAGAAGGTTGGAACTGGTGGAGGCATGAGTTGAGCACTCCAGAATGGTCTGGGTGACTGGGATATGGAGAGGGGATATGAGAGAAAGTGTTGCCTATTGGGCTGTAGCCCTGCTGACAGGCATCATGGGCACTGGCTTCTTTTCTGAGCCCTGTCTCTGTGAGTTAGGCACTCGTTCCCCCATTCAGAGGGAACATGGGTGCAGAAAGCTGGGCATCCCTCACTGGTCCCCATGGCTAAGACAGGACTGTCTCCCTGGGATGCCCATGCCTGTCAGCCTGAGGCCTCTGGACCCTTAGGTCTAGCTTGAGAAGAGCCACCTAGGTCATCTACCTTGTGCTGTGCCCACCCTGTCAGCTTGGAAGTGCTGGCTGCCCAGCTCAGCTCCAGGATGGTTTGCCAACAGCGAAGATGTGGACTAGGGCCTCGAGGAGAATGGCTGACTACACTTCCAGTCAGTGCAGTCCTGGGTCTCCCAGATTCAGGTAGCTGCAGGCACTGGTGGCTGTAGTGACCTCACAGGTTTGTGGGCATGGCTCTGCTGTGTCTGTCGACTGCACCCTTTCACTCTGTAATTCTCTCTACACATTTCAGACAGGCGCATCAGCCTGTGCCCAGGCCAGGGTGGCAAAGTCCAGCAGCCCCAAGGTGCTGCTAACACGGCTTCCTCACCTTCCTGCCCTTGGCCTTGCAGGACGCCAACAAGGAGAGTGGCAAGGCGTCCAAACCGCACAAGGTGGCCAGGGAACACCGTGAGCGGCCGCGCAAGGACTCAGAGAGCAGGAGCTGCTCCAAGGAACCGGAGCGCGAACCCAAGAGCGCCAAGGACACTGCACGCAAACTGCCCAAGGAGGAGAAGGCCCCAGCGCCCAAGGCTGCCTTCAAGGAGCCCAAAGTGGCCCTGAAGGAGGCAAAGCTGGAAAGCCTGTCCCCCAAGGGGGCACCCCAGCCCCCTACCCTGCCCAAAGCCTCCAGCAAGAGGCCTGCTGCCACGGACTCACCGAAGCCCAGTGCCAAAAAGCCTAAGAAGAGTGGATCAAAGGGGGCACGGCGTGCCCCGGGCACCTCACCCCGCACCTCTTCCTCTTTTCCTGACAAGAAGGTGGCCAGAGACAAGAGCAGCAGCAAAGGTGACAAAGGGAAGTCAGAGAGTGAGTCTCGGGAAACTAAGCGGACCCAGCAGGCTGAAGACTCAAACTCAGAGGACGAGGCCTCCTTCCGGTCAGAGGTGAGCAGGTGTGCTGGTTGTCTCTTGCCAGGCTGCCATCTACCCTGCAGCAGCTCTCTCTTGCTCATGCAGTAGTAGCTGAGGTCCCTAGGTGGTATAGGCCATGTAGTACTTCAGTTCAAAGCCGCGGCCCTGATGCTACCCACTAAACAGGCTGTGGCTTTGGTGCTAGGCAGGCAACTTTAAGATCAACCCAACAGTTCACCCTTTGAAGGCCTGTCTTCCTGGTGGGCCTTGGCCATGCTGTCCCATCAGGAGGGCAAGTGTTGGCCACAGAGTCATCCAGAGCTCTTTCTCTGGGAATCTCCTGTCTCCCCCACCTGCCCTGCATAGCGAGGTACAGGTACAGTCTTTCCACTTCTGGGAGACTGCCTGCCTGTGTCAGAGCTGTGGGCTCCTAGCTGTAGAGAGTGTTCTGTCCCCTGGAGTTCTCAGGGAACTGCCTCAGCTCTGCAGAGCCAGAGCAAGCAGCCTGTCAGAAGCTTCCAGGGCGCATCACTGGAGGTGTCTCTGAACTCAGGCACTGGGCTGTGTGGGTCCATGTCAGCAGCCAGAGTTCGACTCTGGGTGACTGAACACTCTCTTCCAGGTGCCAGGACAGGCACTTGGGGCAGTTGTGATCCCAGGCAGAGAGCTCACAGGATACTCTGTGGGTACTTGTTGGGCCTCAGCCAAGTGTAATCTCCTGGGGGGAAGAGATGGGCAACTCTGAGGAACCAGTGCTGTTGTAAGCTCAGTGTCCTTGCCACTGTGCTCAGTCCTGCTGTCCACATGCTCATGCTCATGGAGTTTCTAAACCACTCAGTCCTGGCCACTGAGGACCGTGTGGGAAGTATGGCTGAAGTAGGGCTGTGGTGAGGCCCACTGGGCACTTCCTGGGTCTCACTGGAGAGAAGTTTCCAGATTCTGGTAGTCTCTGCTCTTGGGGTCTCTGTGGTGAGAAAGGTGCCAGGAGGTCTGTGGACCACCACAGTTCCACTGAGGCCTCGGAGGGGCACCTGTCCCCGCCACCTCATGGCCTGTGCCTAAGCCTAATAGGTCAGCATCCATCAGGGGGCCTGCAGGGACACTCCCGTACAGGTGGGGAAGTTCATTTTGCTGCCCAGGGAAAACAAATGAACCCCGGGTGTGTGCAAGAGAGGGTGCCCTGGCTCCGGGCCCAGGCTGTGAGGTCCCACCCTGAGAGCCTCACAGTGGACAGCAGTCGTGGGTGGCTAGGGCAGGTTCCCTAGGGACTCCCACTGGCCAATGGAAGGTGGGTGGGGAGAGGCCAGGCTGCAGGGGACCCTGAGCGGGACAGTTTCTGCTATTAGCCTGCAGTGTTCTCTCTGGGTAGAGCTCTGGGTCCTGAGCTCTACCCTGACAGGTTTGTCCTGTTCCCACACTAACCCTTTGACTGGGGAGGGAGAGGCCGTAGCCACTTAGTCCCATGTAAATGACAGACTTAATGGGGCTTGGGCCCTAGAAGATCTGCTGTCCCTGTTGCTTTTTCTGCTTCCTCCCATGGCTAGCCTCCAGCTATTATCTGCAATAACTGGTCTGTATCTACCTATGATCTTGCTATGTATCAAGATCACACCCCCCACACCACACACAGCAAACCCACACTATATACCGCAACTCACATACCTTACCATACATTGCACACTACAGACCTCCACCACAGATCACACCCTACACACTGCACACACCACACACCCCTCCCAGCACTCACTGAACGACTCTCCAGTGGCACCCTGCCTTGTCTTGTCCTGGCTGTCACTGCCCCCTGGTGGCCAAGTCCATCCCTGTACAGCCACAGGAAGACCAGGCAAGGCGTACACTGCGCCAAGGTGTTTGTGACACACAACTCTACCATCACTCCTGTGCACCTGGTGGGTAGTAGTGAAGCTTGGGTAGTGTCTTGACATTAGATCACTTTCCCTAAGCCCCAGAGAAGCTCATGCTTCCTTCCCTGGCACCTTGGGGCCATATAACTGCTTTACTGCCCCCTCCTCCAACTTGCAAGGTAACAATCTCTTCTCTCCCTCTGTGTTGCCCTGGCATGGGCTGAAGTCGGCCCAGTCAAGCCCAGCCAATGCCAGCTCTAGCTCTGACTCCAGCTCCGACTCAGACTTTGAGCCATCTCAGAACCACAGCCAAGGTGGGTCCAAAGGGGAGGTGGGGCTGGTACAAGTGGGTGGAAGAGGGACAGTAGGCACAGCCTAGGGAGGAGCACAGGCCTGGGAGAGGCATGGCTACAGTGACAGGATGTGGTGGGCTGCTTGTTGCTTCAGAAGGACTGACCTGGGCTTGCACTCTTGAGCCAGACCCTTGTTTGGCATCTCTTCCCCCTGGGCTGAACTCAGTGCCCACAAGTCAGGGGAGGCCCGTGCTATCAACTGGGACACCTAACAGGTTTCCTGGTGGTGTGGGGATTGGTAAAGACAAGGAGCTGTGCTCACCAGGAACCAGGTCACTCCCTGGAGCTCACAGGCCTACAGCCAGACAGGTATTCCCTCCGGAGGGACAGGCACTCAGCATGGTAGGTTCAGCCTGTCCTGACCTATCAGGCTGATGTCTGTGTGTTGGGCCTGGCTGTTTCAGTGGGCCTTCCAGGGAGGGGTATTTAGGCTAACTTCTGTATCTTGCCTTAGAGCAGCCTGGGCAGATTGTGGGATCAGGCCCAAGCACAGCCAAGCTGCCCTGATGAGCCTGCCTCCCATGGTGGCAGCCTCCTTTGGGGGCAGGAGCCTGGCTGGGGGATGGGGTCCTTGAAGTTCATACTCTCCAAGGTTCTTACCCGCTGATTAGAGAGGGAACCAGCTGAATCGGCATCATGTGACCAAGGTAATTGAGGGCTTTGTGTCCCTCTGTTGCCTTGGCAACAGGAATATAAACCAAAGATGCCGTCTGTAGGGGACTGGAACTGGGTGCCTCTGGAGAACAGGGAGGACGGTGGACCCAGGGAATCATACAGGGTTTCTGAGGACTGGGTATCCTCGTGAAGGGGTGCAGGCTGGGCGGGGACTGTGGTCCCAGGCAGAGTAGGGGGCCAGCTGAGACTCTGAGCTTTGGCTGCTGTGATGGAGGGGTCTTGCAAGGTAGTCACAGACCAGGAGCCTGAGGCCTATGAGGAGGGCCAGGAAGGTAGGGGTAGGGAACTCTGCTGTAGGCCAGGGGAACCCTACAGGTGGTGATGAGTCTGGGGTGACCCTGGGGCAGGCCTCCAAGGGCTCAGCTCTCCCCTGTTTGCCCCCAGGACCCCTGCGCTCCATGGTGGAGGATCTGCAATCTGAGGAGTCTGATGAGGATGACTCGTCATCGGGAGAGGAGACCACCGTCAAGGCCAACCCAGGCCGAGAGTCCAGGTGAGTGGGCAGTGCAGACCCGATGGGCCTGGGTGGTATTAGAGGCAGCCTGAGTGTGTTAGGCTTTCACTGTTAGGGCCAGGTTGGGGAACTCTGAAGCTGGCCTTTTCATCATGGCTTTTGGTGGCTTAAGGTTGACTGCCTGTGGGAGAGCTGGGCACAGCAGAGGTGTGTTGGAGGGTGGGGGGCATGGGTACCCAGGTGAGCCAGGGCTAGGGTAGCCATCTCTTGTGGTGAGCATGTCTTTACTGTGGTTTCCTGGAATGGGAGATCTACTGGGACCACCTTTCCAGGCCTCCAACAGGCTGAATACCAGGTTGTGACGGGCAGAGCTGGGGATGGCACAGCAAGCCAGGGCTGCAGTGGCCCTCCCTTAGGGTAGTGTACCCAAGAGTTCACTGTAGAGAGGTCCCAGAAAGTTTGACAAATGTTGGTGATAGTCCCTTCCCTGTCATCCAGGGCTACCAGCCTTTCCCTGTTCACAGTGAGCCAGGCCCTGCACACTCACACAGCATCATACACCCAAGAACCATGAGATTCAGACTTATCTCCCATAGGAGCTGGCCTCTGTTCACAGAGAGGACTTGACCCTGGGAGAAAATGGGAAGCAGGTTCTTGGGAGTCACACACAATCCCATCCAAAGGGGTCATAGATTCATGGGTTACCTTGTGGAGACATATATATATCATCTTCAGGGTGTTTGTGTTAGCCAGCAGGGCTAGAATTATCTATTGTCAGGGAAGGGTCACACACAAGGTGCCTGCTGGCAAGGCCCCATGTCTTGCCTTACCCCTAAGGAGGTCCAGGGCCCAGCATCCCCAGGTGCCACCTATTGAGCACAGGAAGAGGCAGAAATAAGGGAAGCCTGGGACTGTGGTTGCCTGGTAACAGCATGACTTGGAGTCTTGCTTTTGGCCTTGGAGCAGGAGCCCTGGGTGGAACCAACTGACCGGGAACTAAAGGAGGAAAGTGCTGTCCTGGTAGATGGTTCAGTGAATAAAGTCACTTGCCACCAGGCCTGAGGACCTGGGTTTGACCTCAGAGCCCAATGGTACAAGAAGAACTAATGCTGGGGCCTGTTGGAGCCAAAGCATGCTGTTGAGTGTGCCAGGAGACTGCTCTGGCCACTGTCAAGGAGCTTGTTACTGATAGGATAAAACAAGGGCTAAGGGTCTACCTGTCACTTGGGTACTCAGGTTGGACATCATTCTGTGTGACCTTTACAGCAGGACTGCTGCAGGGGCTGAGACTTGCTGCAAGGGTCTCTGGTGTTCAAGGTCAGCGTGGTGTCTCATGCAGCAGCTAGGAGTGGGTCAGAGAGCCCTGGAGCTCAGCACTGGGCAGCTCCTTCATGGGGTGAAGGCAGGGCAGCATGTCCATAGTAGCACCCCATTTCTACCAATGTATATAGCATGAGTCAACTTGACACCACCCTGCCCCCCCCTTTTTTTTTTTTTTTTAGGCTAAGCTTCAGTGACAGTGAAAGCGACAATAGTGCTGACTCCTGCCTGCCTAGCCGTGAGCCTCCACCCCCCCAGAAGCCACCCCCTCCCAGCAGCAAGGTGAGTGGGGTCAGGCTCTGAGCTGGGCTCTGTAGCTATCTTGGGAGGGTTAGGTAGGAGGGCATGTTGGAGCTCACAGGTCTGGGGTCCCTGCAGGTGTCCGGCCGGAGGAGCCCTGAGCCTTGCAGCAAACCTGAAAAGATTCTGAAGAAGGCTACCTACGACAAGGTGGGGTGCTTGGGCCTGTGAGGGTGTGTGTTGGCGGGGTCTTGAACTGTGCTGCACCCAAGTACCCCGAGCTCATTGACACACTTCTCCTCAGGCTTACACGGACGAACTGGTGGAGCTACACCGGAGGCTGATGGCTCTGCGTGAGCGCAACGTGCTGCAGCAGGTACTACGCCCTTTCCTCTCAGGCCTGGACATGGGGCACCCAGCTCTGTTCCCTGAGTCCACCAAACCCACCTTACAGATTGTCAACCTGATTGAGGAGACTGGTCACTTCAATGTCACCAACACCACCTTCGACTTTGACCTTTTCTCCTTGGACGAGAGCACCGTTCGCAAGCTGCAGAGCTGCCTGGAGGCCGTGGCCACATGACCCCAGCCGCCACTGTAGAGCCACGGTGGGCATGGGCACGGGAGGGGCTGGGCATGAGGGCTGGCCCGCCATGGCTCCCGCTCCCGGTACCACCCCCAACTCACCATGGTGCCCTGGTGCCCCTCAGTGGTTGGTGTTGAAGGGGCTGCGGGCCACACTTCCACAGGAGGGGGTGACACAGGACACATGTGGCCTGCAGCCCCTCGTTCATTCTGCCAGTTGTCCACTGTGGGTAGGGCTGAGTGGCAGGTCACTGCCTGGGCCTCTCTGAGTGGCCAGGATGACCACAGTCTTCCATGCAGTTCACAGGCCTCCCTCTGCTGGCCTGCCTCTTACACTCACGGGTCTATCAGTGTGACCAGGGCTAGCCATGGACACCTGGCTCTGCCTGGCAGGTACCTGCCCCTGGCATCCTGTCATGCAGCCTTGTGTATTATTGTGTGTACTCTGGGTGTGTCCAGCAGCTGGGGAGGCTCATGCCACCTCCTGCTAGAGGCACGGGGGATCTCCTCTCTAGATCCCAGGATACCACTGCCTCTCGTGGCCCCAGGCCAGTGAACACTACAATGGGCACGAGTCTTGAATCCACAAGGGCCACCTCTGTAGCCATGTGCCAGCCAAGCACCCACAGTTCCAAGGCTGGCCATACTGGCACTACTGGGCCATCATTCCCCATGGGCCGCCTCCTCTGCTCTCTTGCTGATCAAGTCTTTGAACTTTGAAAACATGAGCTTTTGCCAAATATGATAGGACGGTGTGTGTGAGGCGGGCCCAGCCCCAGACTGCCTCTGTTCCCAGCCACATGGCCTCTGCCTCTGCAGTGGGCCTTGAGAGGCGTTGGACCTTTGCCCCGTAAACTGCCAAGGGCCAAGCCAGCCCCCTTCCCATGCCTAAGCCTGGAGGACCCTCCCCAACCCCAACTCCAGTTGTTGTCAGTGTTTGTGCCCAAACCAAGGTGTTTGAAAGAGGCCTGAGCCCAAGCTGGCTCACAGTTGCCTCTCTGATGTCGCTTCCTCCCCAGTGTGGGTTCACCCCTGGAGGCCTGGCCTCCCAGCTCCCTCTCCCTGTCAGAAAGACCCCAGCCTCTAAGGCTTCCCTCACCCCCAGGGAAAGGAGAGGCCTCCCTCTGCAGCCCCCTTCCTACTCCCTCCAGCTGGGAGGAAGCAGGGTTGGGGCTCCACACCTCTTCCCAGACAGGCCGACAATACTCTCCACCAGGCATTCTGCAGCCTCAGCCTTTGGTCAGAAGGCCCTGGCACCGTGGCAGCCATTGGCATCCACATGGAGTGCGCCAGGGCCCCAAACAGCCTCAGCCCAGGGTGCCATTCTTCCTCCTTTTGCAGTTGCCAGGGGCCCAGCCCTCCTGCTGCCCTGGGCCTCAGTGTCCAGCCCTTCCAGATGCTTCCAAGGCCCTCCTGGAAGCACCCACCCATCTCAGTTACCTCCTCTGGCCAGAAGGTCACACCACTGTCCTCCAGAGCCACTCTGGGGCCCATGCTGGCTGTCCAGAAGCCTAAAAAAGCTTGTAGACAGAGCCCCGAGGGCTCTAGGGACTAGTCCATAGGAAGGGGTGGCACCAGGATTGCCCCCCCAGTGAGTCCCTGTGCTACAGCCTCCTGAACCAGCTCATGACACTGGGTGCAAAAGGTATTGGATACCTGTCCCTCTCCAGGGTTTCACAAGACATGTCTCCAGGAATAGACACGTCACTGGCCCAGACGAGCCCTGGACAGAGGGACAAAGAGCCGTGTTTCTAATGAGCTGCAGGGCTGTTGGTCCCGCATTTTAAACTTTTTGTTAAATTGTGAAATTATGGAGGAGTTTTATAGAAAATAAAGTGAGATGGGAACAGTGAGTGTCCCACCTTTGATTCTGTCAGGAGTGGGAAGAACCACACTGGGAGCCTGGACTACAGAGTGGTCCACAATTTCCCATTCCCTTGGGAGCGATGGGTGAGGGCTGGTTACAAACAGTCTGGAGTCACAGAGGAGTGGGTGGACCAGCAAGGGGGTGGGGGGGTGACGTGGGAGGAGGACACCCAAGTGCTGGTCTTCCAGTTCCTACACCTTGGCAGAACCCACAGGCCTCTGGTGTCACCCTCACTGGGCCCATTTTTACAGATGAGCTCCCCTCAGAGAGCCAGGAACGTGGATGAGTGACATACATAAGCCTACATCCTCGGCTACCACACCCACATAGCAATCACCTCTTGAGTCCTATTAGCAAGTGGTTCATGCTCAGTGGTGAGAATGGACTCTTCTAGGACTTACCATCCCAGCCCACTTTGCTCTCAGGGTACTGCTGCCAGATATCATTCAAGAAAGTTGTTGGTGTAATGGCTATCAGACAGATGCCTACTCACCAGTGTTTGCTGGCCACGCTCAGGGCAAGGGCCCTGGAGCAGGACCCTGCAGAGAGATGTATGGGTGACTCAAAATTTTGAGGGCTAGACCCTCAGGAAAAAAACAAACAAAAACTGTTGTATGAGCCTGGGGACCTGGGTTCCATTCCAGAATCCACTTAGTCAGGTGTATAACAACATTGGCATGTTTGTGTGTGTATATTGGGAGGTGCTAGTCAGGGCCAGGAGACAGTGTTGCAGGTCATTATGAGCTGCATAGTTTATTAGGAACCAAGCACTCATCACCACTTAGCGTTCTCTGTCCCCCACCCCCACCCACTGTAAGCAAGGCAGCAAGGGTCTCACTTGACAGCCAGTGAGGACTGTGACTTCTTTCCAGGCCCAGTTCCAGGTCCCTGTTGTATTAAAAACAAGATTGAGGATAGTTTCCAAGGAAGAACAAAGGTTTGACCCCTTGTCTCCACAGGCATACATGTGCATGCAGTTTTTATTAAAAATATGTGGGCACATAAAATTAGAATTTACTAGTTGTACCTAGCAAAGTTTATTTGGGATTTGGATCACTGAAGAATACTCTTTCTGTGACTGCAACAGATTACCCGAGAGTGGGTAATTTGTAAAGAAAAGGTCTGTGTGGCTTGCAGTTCAGAAAGCAAGTTCCAGTCAGGCTGCTGCATCAGCTTAGCATTTGGAGGTCTTTGTTATGTTCCTCGAGCAGGTGCGCATGCATGGAGAGGTCTGAACTCCCATAACATGTTCCCCATGAAGAAAGCAGGAAGCCATGGAGAACCAAGCTCTGTAAGAGTGTTGCTGAGGACAGACCTGGTCCTTTTCACAATCTAGTTCCCACTGACCATTCCTTGTTATAATAGTTTGTTTTGAGAGAATGTCATGTAGCCCAGGCTAGCCTTGAACTCCTCCTCCTGCCTCTATCTACTGAATGCTAGGCTGACAGGTATGCACCCCATACCAGTCTGTGTGTTGTTAGGAATGGGAGCCCAGGGCATTGTGTACATTAATGTGCTCTCTGCCCCCTGAGCTGCAGCCCATAGTAGTGTTTGCTAAGCTGATGTCCCCAGTGACATCATCAACAGGTCAATGACATTCTCATGCCAACATGATTACTTCCCAAGGTGCCATCCCCTCCCCTGGTGTCACCATATGCCAATGTCACCTACCTTATGATACAGCTATAGGACCATACCAAATGACATCATGCTATTTGGACTGTCATAACCTCTCCTTGAAATCTTAGCAGCTTCGAGTGTTTTATCCCTGCAGTCTGTCTTACACACAGGTTTCTCCGCCTTATGCTGGTCTAAACAGCTCAAGTTGTCTATCTACCATCATCTCCACCTCTAGACACATACAAGAACTGTCCATACTCAGCATTTTTTTTTTCTTCAGAATGGAAATAACTTCCAATTTGACTCACCAGTCAGACTGGGGGTCCAGAAACCTGATCCATTCACTTTGTCAGTTATAACTTCCTGGGTACCCATGATGGACCAAAGGTCAGCTACCTTAGTGAGTCAGGCAGATCCCTGGGGGTACTTGAACTGTGTCACCATTGAGCCCACCACAGTGTAGGTGCCAGTTCCAAAGTTGTATCCATGGAGGCCCCTGCTTGATTCCCCACCTGTATCCTCCTCCCCTGCCAGCAATCCTGACAGAATGCTTAATGTGTGGATGGGCTCCAGAACCTTCTGAGAGTCATTTCTTCCTGCATTTTAATGAGTCTTACAGGACACCAGGGGATAAGTTCCATTTCCTCTGTTATAAATTCTGTGCACCGGCTGCCCCCACTGATAGGACATCCCCTGTGGTCCCTTCTAGCCCCATCAAGCTTGCTCAGCCATGTGTCCCCAGGGGAACTCCAGCACAAGCTGTCTTGAGCACATCACAGGCCTTTAATGTCCGCACTTGTGAGGCAGAGGCAGGAAGATCTGTGAGTTCGAGACCAGCTTGGTCTACATAACAGAGTGAGTTCTAGGGCAGCCTGGGCTACAGAGAAACCCTGTCTTGGAAAACCGGGTGGGGGTGGAGTCCCAGCTGCTTGTTATGAAGACAGCATAAGATCTCCTGAGTGTGCCCCCTAAACTCCATGTCCAGCAGCTACTCTTGGGTCCCTTTGTTTGCCTCTGTTGCGCCCACAGGGATCATTTGCAGTTAGTTTCTAAGGAAAACTAGGTCCCTGCAATTCCTCAACTTCTCATTTAGTGTAGTATATAAGTGAGTTGGAGAAGCAGCTCAGTGGTTAAGAGAGCTTGCTGCTCCTTCAGAGGACGCACATTCAGTTCCAAGCACTCATGGCAGCTCACAACCCTCTATAGCTCTAGCACCTGCCTAGAATCTACTGGTGAGGGGCTGGAGGTGTTGCTGAGAACCAGACCAACTGTGACAAAAAGCAAAGTGTAGTTTTCAATTTAAGAATAAAGTCTGTGGGGGGCTGGAGAGATGGCTCTGTGATTAAGCAGCTCACTGGCTGCTCCTCCAGAGGTCCTGAGTTCAATTCCCAGCAACCACATGATAGCTCACAGCCATCTGTAATGAGATCTGGTACTGTCAGCAGAATACATTTTTTTTTTTTTTTTTTTTTAATGAAGTCTGGGGTGGGAGCCATTTCAGTTTGAGTCTTCCTTGATGTGTCAACATGAAGCCTGGGTCAGGAGTCACTACAATTCAGGGTCTTAACCTGGCATCTGCAGCCTCTGGGCCCTGCTGAGCACTGTGCAGTGTCCTGGGCCTCCACCTATTTCACAACCAGTCACGACAGCCAGATGTCGCCCAGTGTCCCTTGACAAAATCACCTCTGGGTGAGATCCACCACTTTAGTGAACACATTTAATTATTCCTTTAGAATTCAGATCCCAACACTAGAGGGCAGGATATGCCTTCCACCCACACATAGAGCATCCCCCACCCCTCCCTCCCCCCACTGTAGACATTGCCCCTTGACAGGTAGGATGGAAAAACAGGAACTACCAGCATTTGGCCGAAGATTGGAGTGCACAGGGTTGCTAGGAGCTTGCACTCCTTTCATAGAATTTCTGGATATCCTCCTGGTATAACTTGGCCACAATGGTCCTGTTTATCTTGGACATGGGCCCTGTGATGGAAGCAAGGCTGTGGTAAGCCCCCTCGAATTCCTCCCAGGAGTCCCCTCTTGGAAGCCTGAGCTGTTGTCAGAGGGCTGAGTGGATGTTAGCGCATGAGACCTGGGTCAGGAGAGTAGAAACCCACTCCAAGGTACCCCATGAGTTCTCTCCTACAGTCACAGGGTGGGGGTAGGTGAGGCAATTGTTAAAACGTAGGCATGGAGATGCCACCCCCAGGGACCTGGGGTCTAAACAGCTTTGGGCCACATTTTGTGGGTCCAGTCCAGAATCTTCCAACACTCAGATGCTGCCTCAGCCCCCAAAAGCCAAGAATTAGATCTGGAGTTGGTCTATCTCCTGCTGAGAGGAAAGTGTTGGGGTTGAGTTCAGCAGACCACATTTATACAAGCAAGGTTTAGATGTGGCAGACATTTTTGAAGATGTATTTTATTTTAAATATAGGTGCGTGTGTGCGTGCGTGTGTGTGTGTGTGTGTGTATGTGTGTGTGTACACGTGTGCTTGCAGTGCCCTCAGAGGTCACAAGTGGGCATCAGATCCCTAGAATTGGAGTCAATAGCTGGTTGTGAGCTGCCCAGTGTGTGTATGTGTAGGCATTGGGAACTGAACTTGGGTTTTCTGCAAGAGCAGTAAGTGCTTTTAGCCCCTGAGCCGTCTGTCTGGTCCAGATGTGGGAATGTGTGCTCTTCTGGCCTGAGGAGGGTGTCATGCTCCATCACTCTCACACAGGGTCTGTCAGTCAACTTTGAACTAAGCTGGTTGGCAGCAAGCCCCAGGGATTCGCCTGTCTCTGCCGCCACATCATGGCGTTAACAGACCTTCACCTCTACACCCAGCTTTTTAGAGGAGTCCCTGTGGCCCTCATGCACAAGCTCCCATAGCCACTAATAATCTCCTTAGCTCCCAGCGTGTTTTGTTTTGTTTTGCTCTTGAGGTAGGGTCTCACTATGTAGCCCTGGTTATCCTAGAACTCACTTTATAAACCAGCCTGTATCTGACTCCTGAGTGCTGGGTTAAAGGTGTGCACCTCTACTTCTAGCCCTCCCCTCCCCACTGGCCAAGTAGGCTAGGCTGATGGTCCAGGGAGGACCAGGGATTCTCTGATTTTTGCCTCCCCAGCATTGGGAGATAGCTGTTCCTGCAGAGAGTCTGGGTTCACTTCCTAGCACCCAGATGGTAGCTCCCAACTACTCCAATGGCAGAGCATCTGGTGCCTTAGTCTGATCCCTGTGGGTACAGGACAAACATGGTAAACATGCATTCAGACAAACAGTCATATGCATAAAAATAAAGGCCAACAGCATGCCCGCGGTTGGTTTGTTTGTAACATGAGTCTGCAGTAATCAAACAGGTCTTTGTGATTGTGCTGCCATCAT